GCCCCCTGTCAAACCCGACCAGCCCCTCCCTCTCCCTTCAGATCAAACCCGACCAGCCCCTCCCCCTCCATTCCCCGATCAGACCAGCCCCTTGCTGCGCTATGCCGGACCTCGAGTTTGGCATGGGTTCCCTCGACTCAGTCCTCGAACTGATGACAGGAAGAGTATATATCTCACAGCGATGAGATATATCACTGTTTTTTATTCTAGTTTCCTCTGAGAAACGAGAATTTGTTGGAGATCTTACTCTTGTTGTGCAGCAGAAGTGCTGCCGAAATTTTTCTGCGCACAACAAGGGTTTGAAGAAAAAGGTGAACAGGTGTTGGTTCTGAAGCTTGATCGATGGAGGAGATCATCAAGAAGTTGAACCCTGCGGAGGTGTCAACTTTGATAAAGTTGATGAAATTGTCGGCTGATGAGAGCGCGACACGACCATCAAAGAAGTTGGAGCTTCCGACCATCGATCTGAAGCTTGATGGACCGAGTACTTACCTGAGTTGGTCACGACGGGTGAGATACACCCATCGATCTGAAGCTTGATGGACCGAGTACTTACCTGAGTTGGTCACGACGGGTGAGATACACCCTTGCGGGGAGGAACCTGGAGGGTTACTTGACCGGAGAGAAGACAGAACCGGATGAGGACTTGGGAGGACGAGATGAGTGAAAGTCCACTCATATGTTGGTGTACATCTGGCTTCTCAACTCGTTGATCCCGACGATCACCGCCACGGTGGATGGCATTGAAAAGGTGAAGGACGTCTGGGAGAAGTTGAGGAGGACGTATGATGGAGTAGGGAATAACCTGAGGGTATTCCAGATTAAAGGAGAGATCGATGCCACAGTCCAGGAAGAGAGGACTGTACAGGAATATGCTACAGAGTTGGAGCGCCTGTGGTTGGATTATGATCATTTTTCCCCTCGGGCTAGCTGCAAGGACCCGGGATGTAAAGAACGGGAGGCCTTTCTACAGGAGAGGACTATGGTGTTTCTTAAGGGATTGACATCAGAGTTCGCTCAGCGAATCGCATTGCTGCTAGCTCAGCCGAAAATTCCCACGCTTGAGGAGGCTGTCTCTGCTATGATCCAGGAGGAGACTCGCATTCGGCTGCAGGCGGGGACATGTGGACTTCCGGTGGTGAAGTCAGCACTGGCAGCCTCCAGTAGAAGTGGAATATCAACAAACATGGGACATTCGGCTGCAGGCGGGGACATGTGGACTTCCGGTGGTGAAGTCAGCACTGGCAGCCTCCAGTAGAAGTGGAATATCAACAAACATGGGACATTCGGCTGCAGGCGGGGACATGTGGACTTCCGGTGGTGAAGTCAGCACTGGCCTTTCTACAGGTGAACTACTTACCTATAGTAGGAAGGGGAAACAAATTGCGGAAACAGTACCTACAGTGCCACTGGTGCCAAGTCCCTTGCCAACGCCTGCCCCGACTCCTGAGACACCTACACCACCACCAGATTCCTCTCAAGGTGATTCCATTCCTCTTCCTACTCATCCCACACCAATAACCGTACAGAGGACTACTCGCAGTAATGCGGGAAATCCTCCCGATAGATATGGTTGGGATCTTGCTCAGTTTGTATCATATTCTAACATCCACCCTGCACATGGAGCATTCATTGCATCTCTGGACTCTGTTACTATACCTAACAATTGGCAGGTTGCAAAGAAGGACCAGAAATGGAAAGCTGCTATGCACGAAGAGCTAAGGGCCCTTGAGAAAAACCGCACTTGGGAGTTAGTAAAACTACCAAAAGGGAAGAGAGCAGTTGGATGCAAGTGGGTCTTTACTGTGAAGCAGAATCCAGATGGACAGGTTGAACGCTACAAAGCACGTTTGGTGGCAAAAGAATATAGTCAGACATATGGCATCGACTACGATAAGACTTTTGCACCGGTGGCAAAGATGAGCACTGTTCGGACCTTAATCTCTCTGGCAGTAAATGGTGGATGGAAGCTACATCAACTAGATGTGAAGAACGCATTCCTTCATGTAGATCTAGTGGAGGAAGTATACATAGAGATACCACCAGGATTCGGTACAGATCAAACAGTGGGAAAGGTCTGCAGATTGAAGAAGTCTCTTTATGAGCTAAAGCAGTCTCCTTGTGTTTGGTTTGACAGATTCAGGAGGGCTATGATTGGTATGGGGTACTAGCAGATCAGCGCCGACCATACCGTGTTCTCTCGAAGAAGTGGAGGTCACATTACCTTGCTTGCAGTATATGTGGATGATATGATTATTACAGGGGATGATGAGAAGAAGATTGCCCAACTCAAAGTGAGACTAGGTAAGGAGTTCGAGGTGAAAGATCTTGGCTTGCTTAGATACTTTCTTGGAATAGAGATAGCTCGAGGAGCTGAGGGGATCGTCCTATCCCAGAGAAAGTATGCACTGGATCTTCTCAAAGAGACAGGAATGTTAGGATGCAAACCTGCAACTACACCGATCGACCAGAAGTTTAAGCTGGGTGCTGAAGCTGGAGAACCAGTTGATCGTGACAGATACCAAAGGCTGGTGGGCAGGTTGATCTATCTGTGTCACACACGTCCCGATATCTCTTTTGCAGTAAGCGTGGTGAGTCGCTACATGCATGATCCAAGGAAGGGTCATATGGACGCAGTGTACCAGATTCTAAGGTATTTGAAGAATGCCCCCGGAAAAGGGCTAATATTCAGGAAGAATGAACACATGAGCATTGAGGGCTATTGTGACTCTGATTGGGCTAGCTGTGCTGATGACAGGAGGTCCATCTCAGGATACTGTATCTTTATAGGAGGTAACTTAGTCTCGTGGAAGAGCAAGAAGCAGTCGGTGGTGGCGAGATCGACAGCTGAGGCAGAGTATAGAGCTATGGCCTTAGGAGTTGTTGAGTTGCTATGGTTGAAGAGTATGCTGGTTGAGCTGAAGCTGGATCAAGGAGCTAAGATGAAGTTGTGGTGTGACAACAAGTCAGTCATCAGTATCGCCAATAACCCAGTGCAGCATGATAGAACCAAACACATCGAGATCGATAGGTTCTTCATCAAAGAGAAGTTGGATAGCGGACTACTGGAGTTAAGTCATGTTTCGACTAAGGACCAGGCAGCAGATTGTCTGACTAAAGGACTTGGCTCAGTAGATATGATTAGAGGATGTGACAAGATGGGCTTAGTAGATATCTTTCGCCCATCTTGAGGAGGAGTGTTGATATATTAGTATTAGTTAGGGACTTATTTGTAAGTTGTGTAGGGGCCTATATAAAGCCCAAGAGATCTCATAATGAATTAGGGTTTTCATTTACAACTGACATTCCTTAGATGTTAAAAATATAATGTCGTTTCGAAACTCACTGCGAAGGGCGTTGCTTTCTCTTTCACAAAACGGGTAAATCAACTTAATCCTTACTGAATCTGTTGGTTGGCAGGGACATGATTTCCTAAGGTAGATTGTATACGGACGACAACATTATCTTTTATGGCGAAGTTCTTATCTCTACGTGAAAATTTTGTTGCTGTATATTTGACAGGGTTCATAGCTTAAACCTCAGAGTTACTTAGGATTGTGTAATAATCAAACTAGCGCCCTTTGCCATCTTTTTTAACCCATCACTACTGTTGAATGCTATAAAAATTTATGCTCGTTAAGTATTACGGACATTGGTTAATGAATTTGCTAGTCTTCTACTGAAATGGGCTTTAAGTTTTTGTCGAAAGCTTTACCTAGTTTAGCCCCAAATACTCCGTTTCCCCCATGAGACAAAGGCGGTAATTTGTTGGGAATATGAGATATTGTCATAATATATAATGCATTAAATTATCAGTAAGACATTGGTAATCTTCTAATTAATATATATCCTTATTCTCTTCCAATGTCGCTTGTTTTCGCTTTTTTGGCTTTTTTGCAGAGAAGGGCGGGGAAGTTTAGGAGGGCTAACAAGTAGAAGAAATCGTAGATGACAACTGATCCATAACAAGATTTTACCGTGAGGAAGCGGAGTTTATGCTCGACTACTGAATCAAGCTCATTATAGAACATCAAGCTCAATATAGAACATTTCCTTTGTAATTCTGAAAACAATTTTTTTTTTCAATAGTGCTATTCTTCTGTTAATGAACCAGAAGGCAGGATTTCATACTATTTTGTTTAGGAGTTGGCAGCGATGAGTGTATTACTGGTGTTGAAACCTCGTTTACTTCAAATTAATATGCAAATATCACAGTGATGTTACTCCTCGTTTTAAAGTTTGCAAGTTTGTTTAGAATCTTAATTTGAGAATTTGGTTCCTGCACAACGGCTATATTGAAACGTTTGTGCTGCTCTGTTGCACTGCAGTCGGACTGGTTTGTGCAGGAATAACATGGGTGGGCCTTTTATTCACCGGCCTCTTTGCCCTTTCGTTGGATGCACAAGCAGTGAACTTCTGCTTTTCTTCTTACCATCATTATTAAGCTCAGCAGCTCAATTTTATTGTAAGGAACTGAGTTGCATTGGGAGAAAATAACAATATTGACAGCCAAAGTTAAACATCCTCTGGATGGAAAAAGCCCCGAGGAAAAAGGTGTACACAAAATGAAGAAAATAACTATGAAATCAAGAAACCAGAGGCCTTTTTTACATTTCTTCAACTTCCGATGTTTGGCATGTACCTGAGAGAAAATAAGAAATCATGTATAATAGCACCACAGTGAGCTTATCGCTCACAAAGTCATAGCAAGCTACCAACAATAATATTTTGTCAACGGGCAAAAAATTCAAGTTTGTCATAGTGACCTGAGCCTGGGCGTTCGTCACAGTAACCATGGGTGCACATATATAGTTGTGAATCTTGTGATATGATGAATTTGCATTTGCAACAAAAGTCAATTCCCACTCCAACTTACACCCTCTTCAAATTGCACTAGCCTGAGCAAATAAATTCCCAAAGGACCTTCCTCTCAAGCAGAGCTGAGCCATAACTGCATCCCAAATCTCTCAGAATAAAGCTCCAGAGGTAACTTGCTTTTGTAAAATACGGACACCATTAAAGCTGTGCAAAAGTGGATCAAACAAGGGCAAATATTTTTGGGGTTGTGCCAAATACCCAAATAGGTAATGCAAATTTTTTAGGTGGGCCGAAGATGAGCATGAAATCAAAAACGGTAAACCAAAAAAAGATGAATCCTCTCTTCAAGTAGTTTCAGAAATAAAAGATATGGAAACAAAGCATCTGCAAAGAGAATTGAAGTACGCAAATCAACAAGTCGATTACTTGAAGAAATGTCTTGTTGTCTTGGGGATATTTAGTATTTTCCTTGGTGTCATAAACATTGTAATCTGACCTTTAAAAATATAATGCATAATTCTCTTCAAAAGTCTGGGACACATGTGCCATGTCTGAGTACATTACTCAAGTGATGAAATTGAGAAAACGATGAGATGCAAATGTGCTCTTGTATATTATATGTATATAATATAAACAATTACTAAGTATATGTCAGTACATTTACTCACATGTATATGTCATTACATCCAAGAAAACTCATATAGCATATACCCCCAGTTATTGAGACATAAAAGCGAAAAACTCAAAGTCTTGTGAAAACTGTAAGAAACAAGAGCTAAGTATCTGAAATCAGACATCGAAGCAAACCCATATTGTCCTAGTTTTTGAGACATGGATGCATGATGATTTAGAACCAGGAATTCAGCAGTGAAAGCATGATAATCCAGTGGTGAGAATGATAAACAAATGTGCTCAGGTATAGGTCTACATCATCATATATTCATCATCAGCAAACAATTGCATCGTAATGTTGACTGCATTCATGATATTATTACTTCTCACCTCAACAATTGACAGTTGGGACTGCCTCGTCAAATCATTGCATGTAATATTTACTGGTTTAGTATATAAAAAAAAAGACAATCATCACTACACAAATGGGGCTCCTTTAAACCAACATGCTATTGTTTTGAGCCAAAACAAATAAGAAATATATAACAAAGGGGCTGTACAAACCAGTAATAAACAGAACCAAACATGTGAGGCAGAAATGTTCCGAAACCTAAATCCTATGTAACACTCAAATCAGTTTTCAAATCCTCCTTTTCCTCAATTTTTTGGGTAAACAAACCAGTAAGCAGATCATGATTTCAGCAAGCACAACATGTTAAACAAAGTGAGATAAAACAAAGGGTTACAAACTGGTTTAGAACAAAGTGAGCCAAATCTACATGTTAAACAAAGTGTGATAAAACAAAGAGATGTTTACTGGTTTAGAACAAAATGGGCAAACAAACCAGTAAGTAGATCATGAATTCAGCAAGCACAACATGTTAAACAAAGTGAGATAAAACAAAGGGTTACAAACTGGTTTAGAACAAAGTGAGCCAAATCAACATGTTATAACAAAGTGAGATAAAAAGACAATCAGCCAAATCATTGCATGTAATATTTGCTGGTTTAGAATATCAGAAAAAAGACAATCACCACTGCACAAATAGGGCTGCTTGTTCTTCCCCAAAACCCAATAGCAACAATCAGTCAAAATGTCAAGTCAAATCAGTGCATAGGTTGGTCATCAGTAATCAATCTCTCAAAAACAATGTAGCTATAACAACTTAAAGCTGCAATATATGTTAAATGGCTGAGCACAACATGATATTGCCTCGCCTAGAAATTGCTAAGTTACATGCAATATATGTTAAATGGCTGAGCACAACATGATATTGCCTCGCCTAGAAATTGCTAAGTTACATGTGAATGAATAACCTATTTGCATGCACTCATTGCCTCGCCTAGAAATTGCTAAGTTACATGTGAATGAATAACCTATTTGCATGCACTCATCATAGCACCGTTCAAGGAATACAAAAAAGATGACAACTTATCATACTAAGGAGTATTAGCGATGAATGGGACACCTAAATCATGGCATGGCATCATAAACCACAAACGTAGCTATGGAGCATCTTGACAAATAATTATACAGTCATAGGAAGCAAGTAGAAGTTTAAATGACATAATAGCATCATTGTTTGTGTTAGTGTGCAAAATAAATATGGCACAACCAGCTCCAAAATGTTTCTATAAAATAATAATACATAAAGAAATCAGCAAGGTTAATATAGCTAGACAATGCAACCATAAAAGCACAACATGATTAAATGCCTACCTTCATCCCTAATCTAGCTTCCCCCACCTTGCATCTTCATGAAATTATCCAACAAATCCCTTTGGCCAAAGTCACTCTTACCTATAAAATGTCTGGGTTTGGTTTCATTCTCAAATATGGTATCATAAAAAAGCTCAAGTCTATTGGGTAAGTTTCTTTGTGCCTGAAGATAGCTTTGAACAATTTCTCTGTCCAGTGTATATTTACAAGATTGAGAGATGAAGAAAAGTGTTTAACTTCATCTACCATTTGTTGCATGATCTCATGACCAAAGTCAGCCTTCCTCATCCTCCCTTTAGCCGAAGGGATTTTCTTTTGATTGTCCTAGCTGGATGTCTTGATGTTGTTGTTTTGAGATTGATTATCTTCATCTAATAAGTTGACTGTGTGATGGGAATTTTGAGTCATAGGAATGCTAACATCCTTATTGTCATTGTAGGGTGAAAATTTGATTCTTCCGAAGAAAGGAGTTTCGTTTGTATTTATAAGAAAGCTTATTACAAACTAACAAATCAAATGTTTACAACAGAAGCAGAGGGAAGGCCCTCTTTGTTTTTGTGTGGGGACTTTAGGTGGCTATAGGACGCTTCGCTCGATGGTCGGGTCGAGTCTGCTTCCCTTGGACCGTTTGAATGAGGTTGCTGGAGAGCTTCAGTTCGCAGTAGAAGCTCGGGGCAATGGAGTTCGGGTCTGCTTGGTTCGTCGGCGATCGGAGCCCAGAACTAGGCAGAAGTGCTGTAATGCAAGGATTTGCTAACAGCTTGGTCTCAACTCTTTTTCCTCCAAGTTTTGCGACCTCTCTTCCATCGTGCTGGAAGGGGTTTTTAAATGAAAGAAGGACAGCTTGACTTCTCCTTGAATTGTGGGATGTGACCACATCCTCTTCAGAGACGTCTCGCCGTTCCTCGATACCATGAACGGTCATTCCAGGGATTGTGCTCTATGTCCTGTCACCTACGATGGGAAGGCCCATTCTTGTATGTGAGGCAACAAACGACTGCTATCCGAGTGGATTTGACCAGCATTAATGAACCGCATTTATGAGTTCGCAGATCGATGAAGTGTCTGTCCGATCACTTGTACTGTGCGTGACCGCCCGGCGTGCTTTGAGCACGACGCTTTCTCCTTTCCGGTCAGGAGAGGCGGTGAAGTAGGTGTACAGTACTCGAGTGGGTCTAGCCAGCTTGCCGAGTGCCGGCGGATCCACCTCCAGACTCAGACAGCCGAGGTGAGTCGCATTTATGAATGCTCAGGTTGACTCGACACCTGTCCAGCTCCTTCGCGCTGTGCGCACTGTGGGCGGCCGTTTTGACGGTCCTGGGGTACTGTGCTCTCTCTCCCTTCGGGTCGAGAGAGATGGGAAGGTCCATCTCAGCACGTGGGGTAGTGGATACCCAGCTGTACTGACGGTTTTGGGGCTTGCTGGCGGATTCGACTCCGAACTCGGGCAGGCGAGTTGAGCGAAGAGCAAATTTCCGCCATCCTGATCGCTCCTGACTCATGCTGGCGAGTCGACCGTTAGGCGAACCTGGACCTGAGTATAGTCGACGTCTACGCGGTTTAGGTCCGTGCCAGAGAATTGGGCGTGCGAACTCTTCTCGTAGGCAAATTTCCTGTAGACCCATAGAGGTATTTTTTACCGTCTACAAGACCCCCTTCAAAGTTTTCAGACCTGAACTGGCTTGCGTGTGGTCTGGAATACTTTGAATGAAGAAATTGTTGGCGAAGCAAGTGCCTTCGATTTCTCTTAGGATTTTTAGCAAATCCTCAGCTATCAACGGGTTTGATGTGCCTTTACCGATTACCGTTTGAATCGGGCTAGCCATACTATTTTCCTCAGTATGATGAGTTGTCGAACAGTTTCTCTTAGGCTTAATGCTAAGATTTCTGCTCTAACCCTTAGCCATCTGGGGCGTGGGTTTCAACCGTTTAAGCAAGGTCATTCTTTTGGCTTTGTTCGTAAATTTACCATTGAGGGCGAATGCATCGCCAAGGCGAAATTAGTTTTTGAGAGCCAATTTTCGCGCGACTCGTGGGGTTATGCCCAGTATTTGCAGGCGAA